GGGGGGGGGGGCACCTGGTGCCTTCGTTTAAATTTGAGAGTCCTCGAAAACTACACATTTACAATTTTTGTGCCTTTGATCTACATATTTCAGTAAAATCTGCTCAGAAATGCGTTCTCAAGTGGAGATAAAAGGTGGTGAGCCAAAAAAGAAAATTGGAGAGGAAAAAAGTTATCTAACCAACAGAAAAATACCGGTTACCTTGATTTCATTATCAAACATCTATCGTCCTTATCTCCTCTTCTTCATTTTTATGTTTGTTACTCTCATGTACATGGACCAGATAACAAAAGAGGCCAATCCAGACCCAGAGGCACTCAACGAACTCATGTTTGCAGATGACCTGGCAATAATTAACAACAAGACTCAGCTACAGGAGCATAACTAAATGCGAGCGGCGAAAAATATGACATGAAGATCAGTATGATAATGATAATAATAAATGACATTTATATAGCGCTCAACCCCGAATAAAGTACACAGGCTCTGAGCGCTTTACAATACAGTACAACATACAACAGTAACATGAAACGTTGTGTTCTGACTAAAGAAAATTATTCCAAATATTCATCTTATTAATTTAAAAACAGAAACGACTTCAGCTGACATTTGAATGAATCAAAAGATTTGATTTCTCTCAACGTACTTGGTAAAGCATTCCAGATCTTGGGGCCTTGGTATTCAAATGCCCTTTCACCCATTGTTTTAAGTTTCATAGATGGTAAAATAAATTTCTTTTTGTCAGCTGATGATCTTAAACTGCGAGTTGGAATGTACAGTCTTAACAGATTTGATAAATATGATGGTGCATTATCATTCATACATTTGTGACATATGGTGGCCAACTTGTACACAATCCTTTTCTCAACAGGAAGCCAATGCAAAGTTCGTAAAAGAGGTTTAGCAGAGTCTCCATTTCTTTTCCGTAAAACTAAACGTGCTGCATTGTTTTGGACAGAAATAACTTTTAACTTTCTCCAGTGATATTCCTGATAACAAGGAGTTACAATAATCGAGTTTTGATAAAATTAAGCTAGTTACTAGTAAAGCAGTACAAGCAAGACCGAAGTCATGACAATCAGCAGGAGACCAGGTAAAGTGGATATCAACATTAATGGATCCCAACCAAAACAAAGCAGAGAATTCAAATACTTGGGCAGCATTTTCACAGAAAATGGAAAATTAGATCGAGAGATAGAGACTAGATGCCAGAGAGCCAACGCAGTCAGCTACCAACTGGGCCCTCTCCTGAAACATCCCAATATCCCCATGAGCACCAAGGCGAAGCTCATCAACGCCATTTTCCTTCCAACGCTCACATATCAGTGCCAGACATGGATTCTAACAAAAGCCCTAGAGAGGAAACTGGTCACATGCGAGATGAAATGCTTAAGAAGAGCGGTCAACAAAACAAGAAGAGACAAAATTAAAAACGAAGTCATAAGGGACACCATGGGAGCAACACCAGTCCTACCACACATTGAAAAACAAAAGGTCAAGTGGTTCGGACACCTCACGCGGATGCCCTCAAACCATCCAGCTCTGAGAGCATACAACATAAAATATTCTGGATGGAGAGCCAGAGGAAGACCAAGGCGACGATGGAGGGAATCTGTGGCAGACACCCTTAAAGATCATGGGATGTCCCTCCTACAGGCCACACGACTTGCTGCAGACAGACACCTGTGTCTCCCCACGACACCCCAGGATACAAGCGGAAAAAAGTAAAGTAAAGTACTCTCATGTAACCCCTCTAATCTTTTTGCGCTCATATAACATAAAATGTAATCTTCTGGCGCTCATATAACATAAAATGTAGTTGTGAGTGGCGTAAAACTTGTACTAAAACTAAACACTTTTCTGTCTTCTCTCCGTGTCTCACAGAGCCAGTCTGAGGACGGGTGGGGGCCCTGGAGTGATTACTCGGAGTGCTCGAGGACATGTGGTGGGGGAGTACAGCAGAGTACCCGCCAGTGTCGTGTGGGGCGGTGAGTTCCATTCCCGTTTCATGACTGTTTGCTTGTTTTTTTTTATTGCTTTATTGGTGTCCTTTGCTTGCTTGCTTGTTAGTTAGTTAGTTAGTTAGTTAGTTAGTTAGTTAGTTAGTTAGTTAGTTAGTTTGTTTGTTAGTTAGTTAGTTAGTTAGTTAGTTTGTTAGTTAGTTCCGTCTTTTCGATTTATCTAGGGGTGGGAAGTGCTTTTTCTGTCAGTCTTTCTTTTTCAAAACTTCGGAACGAAATTGAATTAAAACACCAGATCATTATGGTAGTCTTGTTCTTGAAAGCAGAGAAAGACACAAAAACTGAATATCGTTCTTCTTAAAGGAAGGGAACATAAGAACATCTTAACAAAGTAAGCCTATAACATCCCACCCTCTCCCCCTCCCCCTACCCCTGACACACGCACGCACACACACACACACACACACACACACACACACACACACACACACACACACACACACACACACACACACACAAATACACACACACACACACTCACACACACAAACACACACGAATTGGTACGCTAAGACGTTATGTATTAAAAGGAAATGTAGAGTAGAAATAATCATTTCTGCGAAAAGTCAAACTTAACTTTCTTTCACATTTTCTCTGTCTGTCTGTCTGTCTGTCTGTCTGTCTGTCTGTCTGCCTGTCTGTCTGTCTGTCTGTCTGTCTGTCTGTCTGTCTGTCTGTCTATTCTCTCTCTCTCTCTCTCTCTCTCTCTCTCTCTCTCTCTCTCTCTCTCTCTGGGAGTGTTGTTATCTGTTTGTCAATCTGGGTTCGTATTTTTGCTGACTTTTAAAAGGAAGGGTATTTCCAGTACGTTAGAAATAAACTCCCCCTAAAATTTGCCTAAATTACCTTTAATTTTATGGTTGACTTTACACCATCTGGCTTCGGATAACGATAATGCAAAGGTCATCTTCTTACTTTTCTCATCAGAGTTGGCAGTCCGGAATGTCAGGGGCACAGTATTCAGTATCAGTCGTGCAATATGGAGGTAAGAATTTCATATTTCCCATAACTTTTGTTACCTTAGACATTCACCAACTATTTAATAGTCCATGCGTTGTAGAGTAACATCCCACCAGTGTATGTGGTGCAGTGGTTAGGTGCCTCACTGCTTCACGTGGAAGACATGGGTTCGATTTCCATGTTGGTAGAGGTTTTTTTTTACTTAGTATACCTCGTGGTTTCTGCTGAGACATTGTATCCCTCTCAGTCCTGATTGGCCCTGTCATTCATCTTTGAGGCCCGCCCAGAAATGATTTACATTGCGTCAGTGAGGGCGAATAAACACTACTTTTTAAAAGAAGGTTCTTGGCTGTTTATCTCAGACAACTTGAGTTTGATTCCCGCTTGGTAAGGTAATTTTATTGGACATCCCCACCTGGGATACTGTATCTTACTGAGTAGGGAGTGTCCCTTGTTTATGGGCAAGGTTGAAGCAGACCACTTTTTCTCTCCCCCCCCCCCCCCCAACACCCCTCCCTTCCAACCCCCCCCCTTTCGGGATTACCTAAACTGTATGGCCTTAACATGAGTTGGCAATGAGTTTAACTTCTCTTTCGTTCCTACACGATTATCTAAGACACAAGGCTTCTATCTTAACGTCAATTTCCAAAAGGACCAAGATACGAGTGTCGTAAGCTTTGACGCTCCCAGTAACAGCAGGTCAAAAAGAGCTTGTTAAGATTCGAATCACTGTCAACCACAATATTGTCCAGTACTGTTCCAACGCATAATCCCTTCTCTTGACAGAACTGGCATCTGCTGTGGTGTAATAGTTAAGCTCTTCCCTGTAGCTCATGGAAAAGTGAGTTCGATCCAGATACTTCATATGAGTATCTCTATCTGTCTGCTGTCATTATGTATCCAATTTAGCCCGTTTTGGACTTGACAGGTGGGGGTCAAGGAAGTCCACTTCCTAAATGTTCAAAAGCGAGTTGCTGCAGGCGTAAAACACGTAGTCAATTTTTTTAACTTTTCTAAACAGAGTTTGAAACTTGTTGTTTGGATGGGAATGTCTTTACCGCGTCCGCGTGAGTGGTAGAGATTCGTTTCTTTGCCGTCGCACGTTGAAGATATAAGTTCGAATCCCGAGAAGGGAATAAAAAAAAAAAATAGAGTATCTACTTCTGCTTATTTGGAGGTTGTGTTTCCCTCAGTCCAGTCTGGCCTTGACAGGGAAGGTCAAAGCAGCCTGCCTCCTACATGATCTAAATTGTGTCGATGAAGGTGTGAAACGCCTACACAATTTCAATTAAATAACAGACGTCGTTATTTCGTCCCCGCCAGGAATGTCCACCCGGTTCCCTCAACTTCCGAGCCTACCAGTGCAGCACGTACAACAGCGTGGAGGTTGCGGTGGAGGGGAAGACGCAGAGGTATCTGTGGAAGCCTTATTATGGTGAGTGGGAGTTTAAAGTCCATCTCCAATAAAAAATCGAGATGCTGAACATACGTTGACATAGAAACACCCTCGAAACGATGTTAGAGACATCGCATTGCAAGATTTGAACCAAGCATGAATAAACTGAGACAATGGAGTACCTTAGTCGTAGTAGTAGTAGTAGTAGTAGTAGTAGTAGTAGTAGTAGTAGTAGTAGTAGTAGTAGTAGTAGTAGTAGTAGTAGTAGTAGTAGTAGTAGTAGTTGTTGTTGTTGTTGTTGTTGTTGTTGTTGTTGCTGTTGTTGTTGTTGTTGTAGTTGTTGTAACAGATTCTGTAGCACTATTTTCATCACAATTCAAGATACAATTTGTTTTCTTTGTGTTATTTTGCATCTTGAGTTCTGCGACAATGCTGTACTTGGTCAGTTTTGGCTTACGTGTGTCAGAAAATGTTTCTAGCAGTTAGTGGAAGGGGGTGATCGATGTTTTTAAAAACCCCAATAAACACCTCTCTCACTCTT